AAAAAAAATACCACCTGCCCCACATTGGCCAATGCCCGTCCGCGGTCCTGATACGCATCCAAATCAAGCCATGAATGTCAACTGTGATGATTCTCACTGAGAATTCAAGCGGAGAATTCTTTTATAGGGTGTGTCCTGACGATTAACCAATCGAAATGAGGTTATTGCATACGATGAGTACCAAAATAGGCGCTTTGTTCACCTTCTTCACTCTAGTTACGAAGAAGACGGACGACGCGCAGACTCTGCCGTCGTGCTGCTGCTGCTGCCCACTCCACATGGTGGGCACCTGTAGGTAGCTAGCCAGCTCGTGTTGTTCGGTTGCTCTGCCCGCAGCAACCCCCTTTTCTTTTTGGTCACTTCAACTTTCGTTGCATGCAATTGCAGATTTTCACTTCTCTTTCCCCCCCTCATCGCATAGCAATCACTTTATGACCCTAACTCGTCTAGGCCCCCATGCATTTTTTTTTTTTTCCCCTTTTTAATAGTCAAGCAAACGGAGTGAATTTTTCCTCCATATTTTTTTCCTTGTTTCTTGACAAGCACAACATCAAAGCACTCTCTTTCTCTCACCTACGATTTCTAAAAAACAGAAATATTCCCATGATCTCTCCTTCACTCTTTCCACTGCTTCTCTTTTTATCAAACTGATGTTGTCATACAAAAGCCGTCCTCTCATTTTTGGCCCATTCTGTGTTTTCGGCCTCTGTGTTTCATATTTCCAATTGAACTCCCATCCTTGTCCTTTGCTCTCCGTCCATCCTCTCCAGCTGAAAGTTCACGAGCGTCACACACGAGAACAATCACGCCATTGTCGACCTCCTTCCCTTTCGGATCGCGAAAGACAACAGCGCTGTCACCGTGCTCACATCCAAACTGTCACCCCACACGTTAATCACGCTTGCCTTTACACTGATCTCCTCATCAATCTGTTATGTCCCTGATTGAAACGAGATACAGCATGACATTCACGCATTCCCATACACATGTGCAATGACAAGAGATCTGGCAAAGAGTGATTCACACCACACCAGCTGAGGGAATACACAGTGGAAGCTCACAAACCATTAATAGAATTGGATTCCATGAATCAATTATTTACAAGATTTCATAGAACAAGGGAGACTTCTTCCTCCCTACCTCGAGCTCCAAGCTGCGGTGCACGTGTACGCCCAACCTATCAAGATCACCAAGTGCCACGCACCCTCCTGAACCCAACATGCCACTCTGCCTCAACCACGATGCCCACTGCAGACGAAGTGCCCACTCAACAGGGGAGCACAGCTCCTAGGATGAAGAAGAACAACAACTTCATGAAGAAGAAAATGGTTGCCACTTCAACAAACACTTCGAAGAAGAGTTTCAACGGCAGTGCTGCCTATGCCAAACAACATAGGTAAGAGGTGGCGCCTTACAGCTCTCAGGGCCTGATGCACAGCGCTGGCTGTCAGTAAGCTGAGCTGCGGCACACACGAGAACAATCACGCCGTCGTCGGCCTGCTTCCCTTTCGGATCGCGAAAGGCAACAGCGTCGTCGTCATGCTCACCTCCAAACTATCATCTGGCACGTTAATCACGCTAGCCTTTACACTGATCACCTCATCAATCTGTTATGTGCCTGATTGAAACGAGATACAGCATGGCATTCACACGTTCCCATACACATGCGCAACTACAAGAGATCTTGGAGAGAGTGATTCACAACACACCGGATGAGAGAATACACAGTGGAAACTCACAAACCATTAATAGAATTGAATTCAATTCAATTCTTATTATACCGTCTCTCCCCAGTTCAATCAACAGCCCCAGATTCCCAAGATCCCAATCATGTTATCAACATCCACAAATCAATTATTTACAAAACTTCATCAAACAAGGGAGACTTCTTCGTACTCCCAACCTCAAGCTCCAAGCTACGGTGCACGTGTACGCCCAACCTATCAGGCTCACCAAGCGCCACACACCCTCCTGAACCCAACATGCCACTCTGCCTCAACCACGATGCCCACTCCAGATGAAGTGTCCACTCAACGGGGGAGCAGGGCTCCTAGGATAAAGACGAAGAACAACTTCATGAAGGGGAAGCCGGATGC